AGCTGGGACTACAGGCATGCGCCACCATGCCCGGCCAGTTTTTTTTTTTTAAGTGAAAACCAAAAGGAAGCTCTTCTTCCTGCTGAAATTTAAATTATAAAAAAATTAAATTATAGTCATTTGGTTATGGTTTTGAAAATAAAGTCTTTTACTTTCTTTCCTTTTAAAATGTCTGAATCTGTGTCAACCAGTGATTTCTTCCTACACAAGTTGGGAGTAGATACTCTGTTTATTATTATCGTTCTAATAATAAAAGATTAAAATGGTGAGCATGTGAATAATGCTTTATATTAATAGTATTCTCACCAGTTGTCTCATCCAGTCCTCCCAGTGGCCCCAGGTGATGAGTCATAGTGTCCCCATCTTTCAGGGGTTACCAAAGCTGAGTAGTTAACTTGTGTAACATACAATTGATAATAAGTTTTTTAACTTATTATTTCAAACTCAGTGTTTCCAAACCTGGTTACTTTGGTATATTAGTGAACTATTTAAATTCTCTAGAATGAGTGTGGAGGGAAGAGGAGCTAAGCCACAGGTACCAGCCCTGCAGAGAATGTTGTTCAGACTGTCTCTCATTAACCCACGCATAGGAGGTGCCTGGCAGAGAAAGTGGCCAGTCGGTATTTGTTGACTGAGTGGATGAATATAATTGGCAGACAGGTGGGAAACAGTGCTCTACCGCCTAGTGTAGAACTCTCCCTCATGACACCATAGTTGCTTTTTTTTAACCCATGTGTCAGGTGCTGAAGGGAACAAAGCGAAGGGTCAGACATGAAAGAATAGCTCAGGAAGTTGGTGTTTTATCAAGTGCCAGAAGGCATGATGCGGATAAGTTTGGATTCAGAGTTCCAAGGGCTTGGGAGAAGCCTCAGAGGCGGAGGATCTCCTAGGTCCAGAAGGCGAGCTTGTGTTTGGGTAGCAGGGAGAATGAGGAGCATATTTGGCCATAGGAGCAGCAGAAACCAAGGCATGAAACTGAAACAAGTTGAGGGGGCCATGAAGAGACCTGTCTGCCCAGAGTAGAAAATTCTTATTATTGAGTGGTGAGGGTTTAAATGGGAAGAGTGGACTAGCTTATGCAAAACCATGCATAATTGGCTAAAAGAGAGATTTTTTCCTATGTATGGTGAAAAGGGAATCTTGAGACTCACCTGTGGATTTGCTATTTCCAACTAGAGTGAGACCCACAGGCGTAAGGAAGTACAGTTGTCCCTTGGTATCCATGGGGGATCGGTTCCAGGACCCCCCACAGATACAAAAATCCACAGGTACTCAAGTCCCTTATATAAAGTGGTGTAGTATTTGCATATAACATATGCAGATCCTCCTGTATACTTTAAATCATCTCTAGATTACTTATAATACTCAATATAATGAAAATACTATGTAAATAGTTGTCATACTATATTATTTAGGGAATAATGAAAAAAGTCTGTACATGTTCAGTACAGACACAGCTATCCTTTTTATTTTTCCTAATATTTTCAATCTGTGGTTGGTCGAATCCACTGATGTGGAACCTAGGGACATGGAGGGCCAACTATATGTCTGTCTTAGGTACTGGAGGTACCTAAGGTACTAAGGAAACTAAACCAGTGAAAACTCTAGCCGCAGGTAGATTGCAACGTGGAGAGGCTGAAAGCAGAGACAGTTCAGCCATGCGGTGATAATTTAAGTCTAGTACATTCCCTCACCCAGTGAGTATTTTTGCCAGGCCCTATGGAGTGGATACAGAGTCTTCGAGGAGCAAAAATGAGGATTTGACCAGACTTGGCTGGTCGAGAAAAGCTTATTTAAAGAAAGGCTTATGAGCTGAGACTGAAGGTTGAGTGAGCAGGAGTTGGCTGGGTAAAGGGCTGGCAGCGGGGAGGTGTGAGGCAGAGGCACCACAGGGTAGGTCAGAAGATGAGAGGGAACATGGTGCGTTTCGGGAAGGAACATAGAGCGTGAGGGCTCTGGGGCTTTATGCAGAGTCCTATAAGCCAAGAGCAGTGGGAGCCGTTGAAGGGTTTTAAGCAGGAAAGTGACATAGTTAAGTTTATATTTATAAAATTCACTGGAGTTGAAATTAGAATGGGTAGAAATAAGAAAGTTGGGTAGAAATAGAGATGTGTTTGAAGACAAAAATACTGCTGACTTTGAGATAGACAAGTCTTCACATATGACTATCATGGCAATCGAATGGCTGCTTTTAATAGTTCTGTTAAGTCAGATCCGGCATAGTTCAGCAGAAGAAATTTAACATGGGGGATGAGATACAAAAGTTTTGGCAGAGCTAAGTGAGCAAGAGGACAGTGAGACAACAGCAGAAAGCTGTTCCCACCTCTAGTCAAGGAGCTGGGGCCACCTGCAGAAACTAGAACCACTGAAGAGTCATGGCCAGAGGGCGGAGGGAGAGAAATAACCTGGCTTCTCTACCCTTCTCTCACCTCCCATTGGCCAAACACCACTGGAAGCCAATAGGCACGGGAGCTGGGAAATGTAGTTTATAGGAACAGTTCCTGTGGAACAGAACAGAGCTGGGGAAGGATGAAGAATGGGTCTGAGAACAAATAGGTAAACGAGGAGCACAATATCCTACCGCCAACATTGTGTTCCTAGTATGATAGAGGCTCTCAAAGACCCTATGCCTTCACATCACCAAAGAGAATCTATCCACAAGTTCAAGAACGGTTTAGCAGAGAGTCAGGTGTTAGAGGGCCTTGCTTCTTACACTCTCTGCTTTCAAAGGTCATATTTTCACCTCTCCTTTAGTTTCTCCCTCATTTTGGGTGAAGGAGCTCATCTGGCTGGAGCATATGCTGATGGGGCCAAAGTTATAGCTTTGATTGCAGAGAAAAATTCAAATTCTGCAGGTCAATACTGTCCTTCTCCCTTTTCTTTGCCATCTTATAGACCTGGGCCATTTATGGCAGAAGGGACCAGGCAAGAGAGGAACTGGGGTTGAGTGCAGTCCATCTTTCTCCTGGGAAAACAGGACAGAGTTTGTGTTCCATGAAGATGTGTGAAGAAGGAGGTCACTGAACTGAGCAGTAGTGTGCTGTTTCCAATCATCTTTGAAAAGAAGATGTCTGGTGGTTTTGTTTTTTTTTTTTTATGAAGGCTCTTATCTGCTTAGGATGGTGGTGTTTCTAATTTGACTGAAGCACAGGGCTTATATAATTTGGAGTTTCCCAAGAGTAAGTATACCTAGAAGCAATCTATATGCAAGACAAGGATATGTGTACCGGAGACTTTCAGTCAGAAGTAAAATGATAGGCCGGGCGCGGTGGCTCACGCCTGTAATCCTAACTCTCTGGGAGGCCGAGGCGGGCGGATTGTTTGAGCTCAGGAGTTCGAAACCAGCCTGAGCAAGAGCGAGACCCTGTCTC